GATATTTTTCATACGTCAAGGTATCTGAAGTGCTTAGAATTTACTAACAGTAGTATTAGTAGTAGTAGTAAAAGAAGAATTCCTGCTAAACAATAATAATAATAATGATAGGTCATTAAAAATAACAAGAATAGAATGCGCATTCTTATTGGTATAGCAGTCATTATCGCTTTTAATGTACCTTTGAGAGGCACCGTGGAGTAATGGATAGCGGCTCGGATTGAGAAATCGGAGAGCCGAGTTCGAGTCGGGTTGAGAAATCGGAGAGCCGAATTCAAGTCGGATTTATTATATTCACTTAATTGTTAATATCCTTGGGAAAGGTATGAATCTTCTTCTTCTTCTCCCCCAAGCTATGAGTAAATAGCAGAACATAATGGGTCCTATAACCTTGGGTGGCAACCAGTCTAGGAAAAGGAAAAACTCTGAATTCGAAATCGGCTTAGAAAGGGTTGGTCTCCGTCAGGATATTTTGCCCAAGAAACACGACTAGTGGCTGCAGTACGCATGATGCCCCTACGACCCTACGGATCACGGGAAAAAATCTGTCTATTACGATCCTCAAAAAACTTCAAGCATCTTGAAGTGGATATTTCTAATATGTGGAACATAAAGACATCAATAATTCCGGTAGTAGTTGGAGAACTCGGATTTATTGGGAAATGTTCAAACAGATTTATTGAAGAGATTCCTGGTAGCCGATGCCTTAAAGAAAATTCTACTCACAAGTGCAGCTTACACATTACGAAGAGCTTTATCTATGCAAAATTTGTATGGTCTTAGTTTTTTTTTGTTTTTTTTCTCAGTAGAAAATTTCATGAAGCCATTTGTGACCTTTAGGACTCTGGGTGGGGCTCGGAAAGGAATGTTTCTGCAACAGAAATCCAAGGAAATAATAATAATAAGCTGTCAAAATACAAAGACCTTGAAATAGAAATCTCGAAAATATGGCATATGGGAACATCAACAATCCCTGTTGTAGTTGGAGCCCTAGGACTGGTTGGAAAAGATTGCAGTAGACTAATTGAAGGGATTCCTGGAAGTCCATGCCTCAAGGAGATACAAAAAATTGTTCTGACAAGTACAGCCCACACTTTACGAAGGGCTTTATCTATGTATTTTTTTTTTTTTTTTTTTGTCAGTGGAAAGTGTCATGCTGCGGAAAGAAATGTGTAAACGCCAGAATTCATAGAAAATAATAATAATAATAATAACAATAATAATAATAATAATAATAATAATAATAATAATAACTAACCTTTATGTCATTATGCCAGATTTATAAATAATCAGTGACCAAAAACAAGAGCCTCTTTCTCCAGAATTTGCATTACAACGACTAATTTTGGAAACAGGTGAATATCGTGAACAACAGTGTTCCAAAAGCAGCTGCTTCGATCTCACTACATACATACACACACACACAAATATATATATATATATATATATATATATATATATATATATATATATATTATATATTCGGATATTTTTGTAACAGAATGCAACATTTCTGTTATTTTTTCCTCCGCCAACGCTTTCATCTGTTTCGTGACATTATATTCCCACGTGTTGTTCGGAAAATTTGTAGAGAGTAGAAGAAAGCTCTCTCTTGCTTCAGGAGTATCACGTCGTGAGCTTATATAATGCTAACATTAGCTTTTGTCTTGTTTTGTTTTGTTTTTACTCTATATGAACGAGAATCTCAATCTTGGAAAGACTAGATGTGAAAGAAAGCATGTTAAGAAAAGATAATTCAAGAAAATATTTCTCTATCTCTATCTTTCTCTCTATACATCTCTCTCTCTCTCTCTCTCTCTCTTTTCCAGGTCACTGGGATACAATAACACCCACGTATTATTATGTCTCTCCTTCAGTAGATTAAGTGCATTTACAGATGTAAAATATTGTGACTGCAGTAAAATCTCTCACGCGACTTACGCCCACGCATGCATAGACAAAATGATTAACATCTTTTTTTTATTCTATTTTTTTCAATCATCAATACATTTTTTTTTTATAAATAACCTACTAAAGAGAGAAAATAGCGTGAATGTGTAGCATGGTAAAATACCTCATCAGAAAAGGCATTTTAAAATTGATTTTCAAAATATATGATTGATAGGGACGAACTTAGTGCAGAAAACAACCACATAATTGCTTTATGTATGAACAATCAAAAAGATTATTCTTTTAAAAAAATATTTAATTATAACTTATGCTATGTGGAATATATCTACTATCAGAGCGTTCTTCCTTTGTACTTGCTAGGAATACAGGTAAACCGAAGCTTCTACATTTGGCAATCTGTCTATTAGAAGGTTCACGCTTGATTTCAAAATTGGGATAAATCAACATGTTGCGCCTTCTTGGGCTCACGTTTTCCCCAGACATGAAGTGGAGAAACTATATCGAATCAATAGCTGCATAAACTATTTACATTATTCGGACTATTGTCCTCATCGCCATATTTATTACGTTTCTGCCTTTCAGTATCTGTGTATATTTCTGAGATGAAGTATTATGTACACTATTTACATTATTCGGACTATTATCCTCATCTTTTCGCCATATTTATTACAACCTTTCGGCCTTTCAGTATCTGTCTATATTTCTGAGATGAGGTATTATGTACACTATTTACATTATTGGGACTATTCTCCTCATCTTTGTTGCCATATTTATTACAACGTTTCGGCCTTTCAGTATCTTGTCTATATTTATGAGATGAGGTATTATGTACACTATTTACATTATTCGGACTATTGTCCTCATCTTTGTTAGGGACCCAGCTTTGGGCAAATAGTGAACCCCAAAGAAAAATCAACAATACTTTTTATAGTAAAATTAGTAACAATACATTAGTATAGCAAAATGACCATCAGTACATTATTATAAATAATTCATTGTTGTAGTGAAATGACAAGCAAAATATTTTTAAAAAATTTCCAACAATACATTTTATCATCTACAAACTGTATATCTAAAATGCATATGTGTACCTTGAAAGTACAAAATTATGTACAAAATATCTGCAGTTGAATGCATATAATTGCGTACAAAACATTTAGATTTCGGCATTAAATGACCCATAATGATGTTGATATGCGGCAAAACAAAATCAACCAACAACAACTCGGCCTCGTGCTCACATTTTAGTCTAATCTAACTCTTGTGAAGATAAAGCATATTAAAAGGTGTCAGTAGCTTTCTGGAGCAAGAGAATAAACCGCGGCCATTTTTTCCAGTATCTGTAGCAATGGATTGTATAGATGTGTTCCACTTGGGGTCTGGATTGAATTTGAGTCTCAAGAGATGTTCAAAACATGAGCCCTCATCGGGAAAAGGACTTAAGTGACGACATTGATCGTTTGTATCATGATATCTAATTCCAGTCTTATTTTATTTCAAGTGGTTGATCTTTCTTCGGCAACCTTGCAAATGAATATAAGTTGATATTTCCCAAATTTATTTAAGCTTCAACATGAACAGAATAATGAAAATGGTAAATCTCTTTAGAACTTGCCTTCCATCTGTAATGTGATCAATCCTAAGCAGCCATCTGGACTACAGTCACTTTTTCAAAGATGTGATGTGACGCTGATTCCTTCTGTCCTTTCTACAAATATTTTCATGGCAACTGTTTTTTTAATCGATTTTACCCAACGCAAGGCAATAAAGCCACTAAGACACAGGGGGTTACTGAGTGTGGAAGAATTAGAAACAGAAATATTATTAATAATCGGGAAGAGAGAAGAGTAATCAGGAAGACGGTAGATAACGACTGGCATTACATTTAAATTTTTTAAAATTAAACTTGACTGGAATACATGGAGCCGGATGAGAGTTTCATAAGCTAGAAGTGTGAGAAAGGAAAATGTTAGCATAGAACTTATGGATACATGTAGCCAACACAACTGTAAATTGATGAGACCTCACCGCCAATCTAGTACTGCGATTAAATTCATAAAATCTACGGACCATAGCGAAGCGTTCAACCGAACAATTACTTCGAAAGTATTTCTAGAAAAGCAGAGGAAGGCAACCTTACGGCGGTCAGAAAGTTATTAAAGCCGAGACACAAGACCAGGACTAATAATATTACTGACTCTTCTTTGGATTTTAACAAAGAGCTGTAGATAGCAAGAGCTCTGGCCATATGTGATGACCTATTTCCCTGGTGCCGGGGCTGCAGGAATTTAAGCCTTCTACCAGATCAGTAACTAGATCACACCGGTTTACTGTTGAACTAGCTAGAGGAAATATCTACACTAACAGTTTATTTTCGCGCACTTCTCACCTGTGGAAGACCCTTTTGATTTCTTTCCCCCCTGATAACTGCAATCTACAAAAATTTAAATGCATCATCAGTTGCTATCTACTGTCTTATTGGGCCATGTTCCCCTAATGTCCTTTCCTCAGTCCTCCCTAATAAAGTTTTCTCATTCTCTTTCGCCCCCTGCAACCCCTGCGCCCTTGTGGCATTATCACCTTGAAGATGAAGCGATTAAATAAATGTTAAACGCCTGCGGTTAGATCTCCTCTCGATATCAATTTCCGTTTTTAAAATTGTTAACCATTATTGGCATTCTTATATCCAAAGTCTTGAAACAAGTTTCTTTTTATTTTTATTTCTTTTCTTTGTGGTCTATCTATTGCAAGAGTTGGAATCAATCAGTTGAATATCCTTCAATTTATTAAATGTTATTTCTCGCCTTTCTACTAATTTAAGACAATTATAGGCAAGCAAGTTATAGGCCTATAATTACTTGGGGTCGCCTTTTGATTCATGTCTATATTACCCATTGTTACTGCCTCGGTTATTCTTGCTTCAAACATTGACTAATTACTGGTTTTACTTATCATACATAAATGTGAATCTCTTGAAGCAGAATCCAGAAATTTTTTCGTGTCTATCAATTTTCTATAGGTTTTGGATTCTCTGTAATTCGACTTGTCGATTGGTCAAGCATTCCTTCCCCTCTTGTCTGTCCCGTCAGAATCCGCCGGTTGTCCTTTCCATTCTTCCTCTAGTCGTGAAGGTTTTTCTTTGTTGATATTGCTAGATCCAAGATATACTTTTACTGACGATCTATTTAAGTGCCTAAATATCAAGTCTCTATCAATTTCTGTTTCGCACATTTCGTATTTGTCGGTCTTTGTACGAATATCAGCATCTATCTATCTATCTATCTATCTATCTATCTATCTATCTATCTATCTCAGTCTTTTCATATCTATCTATCTACCTATCTATCTATCTCAATCTATTCATCTATCTCAGTCTGTTCATATCTATCTCAGTCTGTTAATATCTATCTATCTATCTATCTATCTATCTATCTATCTATCTATCTATCTAAGTCTGTTCATATGTATCTATCTATATACAGTGGAGTGGGGAGAAATATTCCTACATATAATATTTTTTAATTTTAATTGTATTTCCAACTAATGAATAAACACACTTTTCATATAATTAACTGCGTACAGAAGCATAATATATAAATATGCATAGAAAACAAACAAATTGATTTCATAGAAATAAATCCTATTTATCCATTTTAATCTGTGAAAAAAATATTCGTACAAGGCAAATTTCAGATTTTAAAATATTTAAATTGTCTTAATACTCTAGGTTATTCAAGTGAAATATTCTAGAATGTTCCAATAATGATATCAGTAATTATTTTTAGCCTAAAAGTACAAACAGAACATTCTGTAGTTGTCGTGCAAGAAAGTTTTCATCATGGCAATAGGTAAATAAATGAAAAATTCGCAAAAAGAAATCATTGTTAAGATCTGGAAAGAAGTTAAAAGTTACAGGTAAGTCTCAGACAATCTGAATATTCCATTTACAACCATTAATTTATTCATTGCAAGGTGTAAAAAACTCAAAACATGGAAAATTATAGAAAAACAGGTGCTCCAAGGAAGATTTCTGCTAGATATTCGAGGAAATTAATGCCTCAAATTAAACAAAATCCAATGGTTACTCGTCAAGTGTTGCAGCATAATTTACATTCATCAGGAATTAGTGTCACTAAACGGACAATAAGCAATTTTAATTTATAGGAAAAAATCTAGTCACGTTCCTCTCGGAAAACTCCACTGTTATTAAATAGACACAGAGATGCCAGATTGAAATTCGTTTGTGAATATAAAAATAAGGAAAACCAAATTGTGAAAGACTTTTATGGATAGACGAAATCAAAATTGAGTTGTTTCGACGTCATTCTAGAAATCATATTTGGAGGAAAGATGGCGATACCTTCAAACAACACGGTCCCAACAATGAAACTTGGTGATAACAGCATGATGGTTTGGGGATGTTTTTCTGCAAAAGGTACTAGCAAGATATCAGTAATATATGGGAGAATGAATGCCGCAGGATATCAAAATATTTTGGAAGTAAATTTAAAGATTTCGGTTGAAAATCTTGAACTTCGTCCTGATTGGATCTTCTGACAAGATAATGATCCTAAGTACATTGCAAAATCTACGAACAAATGGCTTGCTAAAAATAATATAATTATCCTGAAATAGACAAATCCCCAAATTTAAACACAATCTATCTATTTTGCCTTCTCCTTCATACATCTACCCCAGTCTGTTAATATCTATCTATCTATCTATCTATCTATCTATCTATCTATCTATCTATCTATCTATCCTGCCTTCTCCTTCATATATCTACCTCAGTCTGTTAATATCTATCTATCTATCTATCTATCTATCTATCTATCTATCTATCTATCTATCTATCTATCCTGCCTTCTCCTTCATATATCTACCTCAGTCTGTTAATATCTATCTATCTATCTATCTATCTATCTATCTATCTATCTATCTATCTATCCTGCCTTCTCCTTCATATATCTACCTCAGTCTGTTAATATCTATCTATCTATCTATCTATCTATCTATCTATCTATCTATCTATCTATCTATCCCGCCTTCTCCTTCATATATCTACTTCAGTCTGTTAATATCTATCTATCTATCTATCTATCTATCTATCTATCTGTCTGTCTGTCTGTCTGTTTCTGCTCGTATCTTCATATTTCATTCTATCTATCTTCATTTATACGGTCCAGGAAAAGATCTAGGCCAAATAGGTACAAACTAGTTACATTTTCCAAGTTGTTGTAAGTATTCGACAATCTACTTTTAGAAATAGCGTCTGTGGTCACTAAGGGCTGTAATGTGAGTCATCATATTCACACTAATAGAAGAGTTACAGACCTAAACTCATTATGATACTGAAAATAAGTTATGTAGAACTGATGAGCCTCGTGGAATCCATCAAGATGTAGATACGCACGCAAATTTCTCTTGTAAAATGATCGAGTGCAGACGAAACATAAAACACTCAACTTGTCTTTTAATGCAGCTGATTTACGTTTCAAAATCCCAAAAGTGATGTTGGATGTTTACGATCGAAATATCATAAAGAATGGCTCAACGTGAAATCGCTAGGGTGCATAGATTATTAAAGTCCCCACCCCCGACAAGAAGAAACATGCCAATCTTGAAATAGTTTTATATATTAAAAGAAAATGCGAAATCTTCGAAATTAAACAAAATTGATCAAAGAAAGCTAGTGAGGCTATCAATATGAAACCCAAAATTGACGGTTCGTCATGGGATAGATAAAAGTGTCAGTTCAGACAACAAGACGAATGGTTTGTGAAAGCCATCGAAATGAAAGCGTTGCAGCAGAAAAAGGCATACTTAGCTAAAAACAACACTGGACAAAAGAACATCCGTTATTGAATAATGAAAAATGGGAAACAGTTATACACAAACACACACACAAACATATACATACATATATATATATATATATATATATATATATATATATATATAATTATTTATTTAAAAATATGATTCCAAAACGCTACATAAGAAGTCTCATATATATATATACTAACTATATATTTATATATTATTATTTATTTGTAATAAATATGGCGACAAAGAACAATACTAATGTAAATAGGATATCTCATCTCAGAAATATAAACAGATATATATATATATATATATATATATATATATATATATATATATATATATAAAAGAACAACTATATATGTCAAGATCAGTATATATCAAGATCAGTACTGAGAATTATTTAACAAAGTATAAAAGTTTATCTAATTTAGTCTGCTGAAGTCCTGAAAGACGAAAACGCGCCACGAATAATCTTTTTTCCACTTTGTCATACAATTATATATATATATATATATATATATATATATATATATATATATATATATATATATATGTAATATCCGTTTTATAGAAGTTTTGTTAAAAATGCTTTTAATTAAATTTTCTCATATACTTTTAATTATTTTCTTTTCTCGTCATAAATACCAACTTACCCTGAAGATCTTTAGGATTTATTTTAGTTATTCCCACTTTACTTTGCGTATTGGGCATTTAGTCTTACTACTAGATTGAGTTTTTGTTTCCTTTGGACGAAAAGACTTAAGGCACTGAACGATTATTTTGCACTCTTTCTGATGTTTTTAGTTCTTTCATTTTTTATTTCCAATTTTTTTCCTCGGCTACCGATTTGTTTTGACATATCTACAAGTTAAGTTATCTGAGGTATGAGTATTACTATTAGGATATATATATATATATATATATATATATATATATATATATATATATATATATATATATATATGATAAATTGGTTAACGGAAACAGAAATTTTTTTCTGTAATAAAATGAACACCACAGTCAGCAGAGGACACTCTGTTAGACCTATAGAACACTATTAGGATGTGTTGCAAAAGAGATTCAAATCCCAGCCGTGTTACTAACCAACCTAAAAAATTCTGGAATTATAACAGCATTTGCCTAAATTTCGAAACCCCATGGAAAGAAGAGAGTTTCAGAGCGGTACTAGAACAGTCTAACTAATATAATGACATATGAGTATATATATATATATATATATATATATATATATATATATATATATATATATATATATATATATATAAAAATAAATCCTAAAAAACCAGGACAAATGGATCTTCAGGGTAAGAACGTTTTTAGTCTAACTTCTCGCTTTGTTTTAACATATCTACAAGCAGCTATAAGCTTTCTGGTCAGTAGAAAATGGTCGCAAACTACATGAAAACTGCCGTAGCATGAAAAAATCGATTATTTCCACTATTAATGGGAGTTAGGAAATGCAAAAGTCGGTAATGGCCTTGGAGCATGTGCATGTAAATTTTGGTGCAAATCCGTCGAAAATTGCGGCCGTGCATTCGTTACACACACACACACACACACACACGCGCGCGCATCCTGCCATTTATATATATATATATATATATATATATATATATATATATATATATATATATATATATATATATAGATATATGTATATATATATCATAAATAAATATATCATATATCTATATATATGTCACATATATACATATATATATATATGAAGAAAAATATGCTGAAAAAAACAAACAAAAATCATAATATGCGATTAATTGTATATGGTCTATGTTAATTATGTTTTATCAATATGTCCTGAAGATGGTCAATTAAACCGAAACGTCCGACGTTGACATTAAACATTAAAACAGTATAAGGATTTTTGTTTGTTTTTTCAGTATATTTTTCTTCATACTGTCGGATCTATATCCATATATTTGCTTATGTATATATATCCAATATATATATATATATATATATATATATATATATATATATATATATATATATATATATATATATATATATATATATATATAATATGTCGATATATAATTTAGTATAATGTTTTAAATCAACAAAGCGTATTTATAAAAATAGTATGACAAATTTGAGAAAAGCTTTTCAGATGTGTTTCATCCGTTATGATTTCAACGGACTTTTTTTTCTTTGAACTAGCGATAAAGAGACTTTCTAGCAAATGCTTTGATCGCTAGTTCACTCACGGTAAATACTTACAATGTATTCTTTGTAGATTTTCTGTTGGCACAATGTGGGATTGTCATGGACAAAGTTGATGGAGAGAAAAAGAAAAAGAATACAGACGAATTTAGCTCGATTGAAAAAATATTCTTTCAAAAATAAGATATTCTTTTCAGAAATATTCTTTTTAAAAGTACCAGCGGATTTTATTTCTTCGCATGTGTAGACGTGGCACCATCAACAAAGCCCTGTCCGATGGAATCCTAACAGATGAAATGCGTCATAAAAACTTTTTCCAATGTGTCATACTATATATATATATATATATATATATATATATATATATATATATATATATATATATATATGTCTTAAAATAATTGTCGGACATTGATTTAACCGATTTGACCACAGTGGACTTCAATGTTCACTTTCGTATTTGCCCACGCTCTATCTCTGATACTGAGCACTTTATCCCATAAATATGGCACACCTTAAGACTATATTTCTTCATATATATATATATATATATATATATATATATATATATATATATATAATTTAATAATCTAAAAATATAGTTCCATCGTATCACATGAATTACCATTTTTCAAAAAACAGAAAATAAAAAGCTCGAAATTTAAATATAGAATTAAATTAAAATCCCTAGTAATGTTTCATTTTCAACCGAATTTTGGAATATTTATACCCTGCAGAATTGTATTGAGCACCGTTTTTGAAAAATAAAAAATAATTAATAAGAACACCGGATTATAAATCTTACTTTTCTTTCTCTTTAATTTAATATATATATATATATATATATATATATATATATATATATATATATATATATATACATACACACACACACATATATATCCAAAATCAGTCGCGTTTTGATCCCAACATGAAGCGATCTAATGTCTAGCAATACTGAGGAGATGTGATACAGCGAAACACTCTGGCTGTGGTTGACGATATTAGCTACCGAAAAGAAATTAATTCCGTCGAGCACTGTGGGCGGGGGGAAGCGCGTATTTGTAAACAGAGACTATTACTGCTAATAATGCAAGACTCTCCCAATAGATTGTGTCCTCTAAGTCACTGGCAAGTTTATGAAAAATAAATGCGCAAAAATTTGCCTTTCTCTCTGTAGAGCGTTGATACCCTAGAAGTTAAGATCTCCCACATACCAAATTGGTCGGATGTTGGTCCCGGCTTGAAACGATCGACTGTCTAGCCACTCTGAGGAGCTACAATACAGCGAAACAGTTTGCCTGTGGATTATGATATATATATATATATATATATATATATATATATATATTAAAAGAGATAAAATTATTTCTAATAATCATCCTTTCTCTTTCTACCGCTGATGTGCTGAAAAGTTATAAACTTTATCCAAAAAAACATATTTAAGTGTCTTGGTCGAATTGAGAACTTCTCGGTGTTTTCTTGTAAAATATTTTTTTTTATAATAGCACTCTAATCGATATTTATTTTAATCCTTTCACTCAAGTAAGGCAATAAAGCCACTAAGGCGCAGGGGGATAACGAGTGCGAAAGAATATGAGAAAAAGATAACACGTTATTAAGGAGAGAACAATGAAAGAACAGGAATTAAGAAGATTGTAGATAGCAATTGACATGCTTTAGTAATAGTTTTGTAGCTTGTTTTTATAAATCTCTTACAACAAGTATTAAATGATATACAATCAATAAGGGTTGGAGAACATATCGGTCGAAATGTTCCGAAATATAGGTTACTGATATAAATCCGATATTTGGAAAGAACATGTTTCAGTTTTTCTCGTCTTTATTCAAAATAAAGAAAATATCACTGTGAATTAGTGAGCCTATCCTGGTTGTGTAGATATATGTAAGTACTTTGTGTGTATATTTATGTGTATACGTGTGTTCAGGGCTTAGAGACAGTGCCGGATGATTTGAGCCGAAGTTTGGCATGCGCACGCGTCTTGATTCAAGCAACAAAAAAAGATCGCTTTAGATTATTTAAAAGAAAAACATTTTAACATGTGTCGGATCAATAAATGGTTATCAGATTTATAACAAATCAAAGTTACACACCCTTTATTTATTTTATTGTTTTTTTTTATTTATTTGTTATATTTGTCTATTAAATCTTTTCAAAAGACAAAC